TTTAGTTTTTTGTAATAGACCATTGTCAGCCCGTCCGGCCCTGGAGATTTCCCTGGATCTAATTTCCTTATCGCGTGTTCTATTTCCTCGGACGTGATGTTTTTGTTAAGTACTTCTCTTTCTAGGTCTGTCAGCCTTTCTATTTTTTGTTTACTCAAATACTCATTAATTCCCTCTCTATTTATCGTGTCTTTACTATATAGCTTCTTATAGTATTTATGAAACTGGGCGACAATTTCTTCACTTTTTGTATATATCTTGTCACCATCTTCAATTTGGGTAATGTTTTGATTACATTTTTTCTTTTTGATTTTCCTCGATAGCCACTTTCCTGCTTTGTTTCCATTCTGAAAATGGTCTTGTTTTGTGAAAGCTAGGTTTCTTGCCATTTGTTCTAACTCTAAGTGTTCTTTTTGTTTAATTAACATCTTCAATTCTACTTTGATGTTCTCTTTCTTTGGGTATTTTTTGAGTTCTCTCTCTAGCGCCTCTATGTTGTCATTTAGTTCTTTCTCTTTCTGTTTTTTCTGCTTGTATTTTCTGCTGTTTTGTTGTATAAATAGCCCCCTCATGTACGCTTTACTAGCGTCCCAAATAATGTCTTTTGGTGTGCTTTCCTTATTATTTAGTTGGAAAAATTCCGCGAGTAGTTCCTTGTTCTTCTTGATGTCCTCTTCTGTTCTTAGCAGGTGTTCGCTTAGCCTCCATCTATTTCTGTTCCTTTTATGGTTTATTGTCATTTCGATTGGACAATGGTCAGAGTAGGCACGGGGTAGGATCTTAATTTTACTGATCCTTCCTACTAAAGTCTTTGTGGCCCAGACCATGTCTATTCTCGTCCATCTCTTGTGTCTGTCCGAGAAATATGTATAGTCTCTCACCCCTTTATTATAAGTCCTCCACACGTCCTGTAGGCCTAGGTCTTTTTGCATCTTAATTAAACTTGCTGGAATTTTCCCTCCTCTCTCTTTCTTCTTTTTGTTGTCTCTTACACTTTTATCTAGATCAATGTCCACAACGCCATTGAAATCCCCCTGAAGAATCAATTCATCATATTCTTGTTCTAACAAAAAGCTTATCAGTTTATTTACACATTTACTTTTAGCATCATTTGGCAAATAAACATTGCATATAAGTAAAGTCATCCCTTCTCTTTCAATAGTAACCCCTAATATTCTACCCTCTGTATCTTTGAACGCCTGTTTTGCTATTATGGGTTCTCTTACATATGTGGCTACTCCTCTCTTTTTTTCCGGCGCTGAGGAATAAAAGACTTTGAAACCTTTCTGGGTGAGGTGTGACACGTGTTTCTGGGAAATGTGTGTTTCCTGGAGTGAGATTACATCGTATTTCCCTTTCTTTAAGCTATTAAATATCATCTTTCTCTTATTAGGGGAATTTATCCCGTTGATGTTGTTTGATATACATTTAATGTTCCACTCCATCATTAATTTTAGTTGTTTCCTCATTTTTGTTCTTCCCTTCCTTTGCTTCTGGTTCCCAACCCTTCAGCTCTCTACTGTAAGATGTTCCTCCTGGTGATGTCAGTCTTGCCCTTTTCACTCCTTGTTTATAATCTAGAGTTGTATTATTTTCTGATTCCTTTTTCAGTCTTTTGTAGAAGTTTTGTGCTTTTTCCTCCGATGTCAACCAAAAGCGTTCTCCTCTGTATGATACCATCACGCCTTCTGATCTCTCCCATCGGAATCTTATATTAAGTTTCTTCAATTCCTCTGTTAGGAAGAGGTATTTTTTCCTCTTAAGGAGTGTGGAGGAGGGTACTTCCTTCAGGATAATAATTTTCTTCCCTTTATATGTGGGTTGACCCTGGTTGTTCCTCTTAAGGATCCCATCTCTAGTCATTTTTTTCGTAAAGTGGACTAGAACGTCCCTATCCACTTTGTTCCTCTTCGCATAATTAGTAGAGATGCGGTACACCCGATCAATCTGATTTTCTAAGTCTGCCTCTGGTTGTTCCATTAATTTAGCCGTTATTTCAATCACAATTTTCCTGATGTCTTCTTGCGGTTCCTCTATTATATTCCTGTATCTTAGCTGGAATTCCAATTCACTCGCTTCTAGTCTTTCCTGCTGTCGTTCTAACACAGTGCTTTTGCCTGCCAATTCTTCCAATTTCTTCTCACATTGCTCTTGTTTGTGTGTCATGTCCTGTTTTTCCTTCTTCATTTCTTTCATTTCTTGCTGAAACGTCTGGATGTCCTTTTTCATAATGTTTAGTTCCTCCGTCATTTCCTTTCGCATTTTCTTTAGTTCTTCTTGATGTGCATCCTGTTTCTCAGACAGTTTTTTCAAATCTTCCTGATGGGCGTCCTGCTTTGCCGAGATGCCTTGAATTCCCTTTAGGATTTCTTTCATGGTGGCATCTTCTGATATAGAATTTTTTTTGTTCAAATTTGGGGTCCCTGGTTGTTGTGGTAGCTTCTTCTCCCCCTCCTTGTCCTTGTCTTTATCTCCTTTTTCACCTCCTCTCTCCCCCTTATTTTTGAGTGTTGTCATCTTTATTTTCTTTAGTTTACCGTCACCGATCTATTAATAGTCCTCTTCGAAAAGAAAGGGAGCGAACAGTGTAGCTAAGCCTCTCAGTTTTACTGGGGGATATCTGCTTTATTTTAACTATGAGAGGTCGCCACGTGTTGCGTAACGCAACTAATGTGTAGCGTTCTCTGTTCTAAGTTGATAGGAAGATG